GCAGCTTCAGGGTCGGCAACAATTACTGACAAGTATGTTTAGACAAAGTAATTAGGAACGATTTTTATTCTTTCTTCATCATTTAGGTCCTAAAGGTGAACCAGGTCTAACAATAACAGAGAAAGGTCTACCAGGACCAAGAGGATTGGATGGCGCACCAGGACAGCCTGGTGGACCAGGTACCCAGTCTTCCTTATTTAGGAAATAACCTGTTTCTGTTAAGGATGCCTACAATAATATGGTGATTCTTGTGACCAGGTTCCCCAGGTCAGCCCGGTCAGCCTGGTTTACCAGGTTTACCAGGACAAAAGGGTGATATTGGATCACCGGGAATTGGACTCCCGGGTCCTTCTGGATCCAAAGGTAAAGCCTCCTCATCCTACCCTGCCTCTGTTTTTTTTATCAAGCCTCCTCTTCTCATCATACCTATTTATATACATCTTTACTTATTGTGGCTCTTCGTTACTCACGTAATCAACATTTTCCTTGTCTGTTTTAGGATTCCCAGGTATTCCTGGCCAGCCAGGAGCACCTGGAGGTCCAGGGAGACCAGGAATTGATGGTCTCCCTGGCCCACAAGGATTTCCTGGACCCAAGGTGAGCAGATGTAAAGAGAAATTAGATGGACAGCCAGTTATTCCTTCACTGTTTACACCTTCCTGTTTCACTTGTTGAAGTGAAATATAATTTGGCCTGTTTTATGTGAATGGTAGGGTGAACCTGGATTTGGACTTCCTGGTCCCCCAGGCTTACCAGGACAACCTGGACCTAAGGGTTTCACAGGACCAAAGGGAGATACTGGTTTCCCAGGCAATCCTGGTTCACCAGGGCGATCTGGTTTTGATGGATCTCCAGGATCAAAGGGTATACTTGTTCATATTGCTTGAGTCTATCAATACTTTGAGCATCAATTTAATGGTTTGGGATGTCAGTTAATACAAAAGCTCACCAAAGCTTTCTCGCGATGATTTTGTTTGTTTTATCTAGGTGAACCTGGTACACCTGGTTTGCCAGGTGCACGTGGGCAACCTGGACTACCTGGCATTGGCTTACCAGGACCTGCAGGTCCTCCTGGACCACCAGGATCTGTAGGACCACCAGGTAAAGCACAATTTGGTTGCATTATGCTCTTTTTCATTATAAAATGTCACTTTGCAACAGATCTCCTTTGGCTTGAAAAGCTAACTTGACTTTCAATCAACTGAACATAGAAACCTGACATTCACATGAGTAACAGAACAACCTCTATGTGTGAACTGATTGTGATCATGGTGTGGAGTAGAAAAACAGATAATTGCTGATAAGGTTATCTACATAGAAAAGGTGAGGTTCAGACATTGGTTCATAATGCAAAGACTGAATTTGTAGCAACATTGTTACAGGTTACCCAGGAGCAAATGGAGCAAAAGGAGATCCTGGCCCTCCAGGTCTAGACATTCCAGGTTTACCAGGAGACAGAGGAAATCCGGGTTTCCCAGGGCTGCCTGGACCAATAGGAGTCCCGGGACCCCCTGGAGGACCGGGACGGGATGGAGCACCTGGATTCCCTGGTAAAATGTATTCTTATTTCCCAAAAGCCATAGATAAAAATCAAAATGACTGTGGGACTTTGTTTCTGTTATACAATGTAAAACATATTTTTCAAGCAGTGTTCCTAATAAAATAGTGTACACAATACTAGTTTTAGATCTGTGTTCTCTCAAAACATCACACACATGCTACAGAAGATGAGGAGTTTGTGAATTATTAATTTGTATAGTAGATGAATAAGCAGGGGAAACAAGTGAAGAAGAATATATTTCTCTTTTTTATTTTGCCTATTTGCTCTGATAACCTTTTGCGGTTGTCTGTTTGGCTCACACAGGTCAGAAAGGTGACATGGGTCCCATGGGATCTCCAGGACCTCCTGGGGGACCTGGTTTACCGGGTGGGCCAGGGCCTCAAGGGCTTAAAGGTAATTCTACTTTACATCTAAACTTGTTCGTCCACCCTTTATAGGCATGTATTACACATCAGATACTTCGTGCTAATATTAATATATAAAATTGTAGAGAAGAGTGAAAATGTTACTGTTTACTGCACTAGAAGGACTAGAATTTATTACCAAGCCATAAGGAAGTTAATAGAATACATATTGCATGGAGAGATTGAAGAGCAGTGGTCCAGGCTCTAGCCTGTCCTTTTTTCACTAATCTCACCTTTCTGAAGCACTGTTTATTTTTCTTTCCTCATCTTTTACAGATTTGTGCTCATTAGTATTTACCGGTCCCATCACGCTAATGTATTCATTGTCCCATGCATTTTGTGTGCACCACCCCCTTCCCGCTTTCATAGCGATTGGAGGTACATGTGCGCAGCGCTGTGCTGCACTGCGCACATGTACCTCCAAACAAACACCCTTATGTGTTTGGCGCTTTTTGTCGTTTGTAACGCCAGCTCTGGATAGGATGGAGGGAGGGAGTCTGTGTCACTCACTCCGGCTCCTCCAAGAAGAAGCCGGCTTTGATAGGCTCTCAGAGCCATTACGTTCCCAACCGACACATCACAAGTGTGGCTGACAGAAAGCTTGATAGCACTGCTGCACTTCATTCAACCACATTGTAATAACAAGCCACTTTACAGGCCCAGTAACAGTAACGGCGTTGCAACAATGGGAAAAGTAACTCATTTGATTACTCTGTTACCTGAAAATAACATCATTAGTAATACCGTTTTACTTAAACGCCAATACTCCCAACACTGATTATTTACCAATTGTAATAAATGTCAGCTGATGCCAAATGTATCACCAGACAAGAACATGATTTCCCATATTGTTGTGTTGATGCTCCTCAGGTGAACCTGGATTCCCAGGTAGAGATGGTGGACCAGGTGCTCCTGGTATTAAAGGAGAGAAGGGAGACGCCGGTCTGCGTGGACCCCCAGGAATTGCCTCTCTTGAAACAAAAGGAACTAAAGGCGATACTGGACCACCAGGTACAGTTGAAGAAAATAACTACAAAGACTGATTTTGATGTTTTGAATCTCACAGGTATTTTTTTACAGTTACATGCATAATGAATTTATCTGTGTGCAGGGTTACCTGGGTCTTCAGGGCCAAAAGGTATCCCTGGTCTCCCTGGAGACTCTGGAATACCAGGAGCAGATGGTCGCCCTGGTGTTCCTGGACCACCAGGTAAGAGGTTATAATACCACATCTACATACATATACCTAAAACAAGTACATATTTTTACTCGATGCTTCTGTTTTTTGTAGGTCCCAAAGGGGAACCTGGCATCCCAGGTGGTCCAGGGTCTCCTGGAATTCCAGGATTAAAAGGCAACATGGGAGATATGGGAATTCCAGGTGGGTGAGCATGCTCATTTTCCGATATTTGTCTTTACTGTTGCTGGTAATGTTGGACTCTTAGAGTTCTAGTAAAAACTAAAATAAACATCTAATATATAAATTCAGTACACACATTTTTTTGTTTGAAACAGTCATGAAATTTTGTTAAACTCAAACTTTACAAAAATGACGTCTTTCTTGTACTAATGGCCTAGTGGTAGAGTGTCCACCATGAGACAGGGATATCGGGGTTCAAATCCTGATCGGGTTATACCAAAGACTTTAACAATGGGACCCAATGGCTCTGCTTGACACTCTGCTTTAAGGAGTTGGGCTGGGGGATAAACCTCATTATGTTCAAACCTCACTAGTCTCTTTTTGTTTTTTTAACTGTCATCACAGGACCTCCAGGGCCAAAAGGCACATTGGGTAGTGTAGGTAGGCCAGGAACCCCAGGTCAGCCGGGAATTCCAGGCCTCCAAGGGCCCAAAGGTGAACCAGGTTCAGCTGGCCTTGGACCACCAGGACTTAAGGGTCAAAAGGTACTGGATGTCGCTGTTTTGTTTCCTTTGTATACAAGAGTTTCAAGTCTTTATCACTTTACTCACACTTTGGTTCTTGCTGCATCTAGGGTGAGTCAGGTCAGCCAGGATTCCCAGGAAATCAAGGACTTAAAGGAAACCCAGGACAACCTGGTCTACCAGGTTTACCAGGAATACCCGGGGAAAAGGGTGATCTTGGCCATCCAGGATTCCAAGGTATGTCTAGACGTTCAAAACTGACATTTATAGAAGAGACTGAACAGTTTTGTATGGTTTCCATGTATTCTTTTGTTTGTTTTGCCTGGTTTGAGTTGGGAGCAACTCTCAGCTGTTTTTACAAAACAATGCCGTCAATTAGCTGCAACTCCATGGCTGCATCTGGGAGCCTTAGGTCATTTATAAATGGTCAGACCATGGCGGTAATGTGGCGCAATCGTATCCTTTTTACAAAAGATTAGGTGATGGCAGCATAAAGGGGGTATGGAGGCAGTCTCTGTGTTGCCGCGGACGTTTTTTGAACAAGACGCTCCTAAAGGAGTCTGTCCCCATCAGTCTCTGTGCAGTCTTTGGTGATCTGAGCTTCAGCTCTTACAGAGAGATGCTCATAGCGCTCCAGTTTGCCATCTCAGCTGATTTTGTTCAAAAAGCAAAACGTATTGCCCGTTTCATTTTCAATATGTTTGCTGGCCGGAGCTCGGCATTAATTCTCCACTTCATCATGACACATCCCTCTGTTTTGTCATGGCGCAATAGTCATTTATAAGACAGACCATTACGCAATATTACTACCAATCAAGGTGGAACGAATGCCACAAAGGTCGCGCAACATCATGCTGGCATGGTGCATTCATAAGACATACTGTTGCAGTAAAGCCTGATTCATGCTTCTCCGTCTGCGTCAGTGTGGAGACACGCAACGTCCTTGCGGGCCTGCCGGAGAGCTCCGCAAGGACGGACGGAGTCGAGCTCTCTTTTCTACACATCTGTCAGTCGAGACGGACAACGCAAGCTTGTGATTGGTCAGGATGCCGCTGTTGTCTACAGTGCCGCCATCGTGCCCTCAAAAACATAAAGAGAGCCGAGGATAACAAGCGGCAGACACGGAGAAGCTTGAAGAATACCTCGCGAAAAAAATCCCAAAACATGAATGTTTAATTCTCCCGTGACTGGAGGAGTGAAAAGATGCGCAGCAAGCGTTTTATTTGTGGACGGAAATGACAGGAAATGTGGGTTTAGGGGTGGCGAGCGCATGAAGAGGTGGAGGAGGATGAGAGACAAATTTGTCTGTGTTAAAAAGTATCTTATAAACAACAAACACAATATAAACACACTATCTTGGACCGGATACATGACAGGATACCACAGAACAGCGCTACGCCCTCTGTTGTCCTGGTGGGGAATTGCTTTGCAACACACTCCATGAGACGGAGAAGTATGAGAGTAAAACGCTTCCGTCAGTCCGTGCGTGTCTGTCCCTTGCGGAGCTGACGGAGAAGCATAAACCAGGCTTAATATTACGGTGATTTGCTGACACGTTGTGTCTTGTAAAAAGGGCTTCTGACTCAAGTAGAGAAGTTAAAAGTACTGTATCTTGGTGTGTTGTTTTTGAGTGATAGTAAAGTAGAGCCATGGATGAATCAATAGATCTTTAGTAATGAGGGTGCTAACCTGGTCTATGTGATGAAGGTTCTGGGTCAAAAGGCAAAGCTCTCTATTTACTGGCATATCGACTGGCCATAATGTTTAGATCATGACTAAAACATTTGGATCCCAGATACAAGCAGACACTATGTGTTTCATGCTCACCCCCAGTCATACCGTGAGCGTGTCAGGTGCAAATCTTGTGTCTGTGTAGTTTGACCTGTGAGATCACAAAGTCATTGGAGAATTAATGTTTTATGCTTTAAAATAACTTGTTTCATTTAAGGCTTTTAAACTCACCACTACTCTGGTAACTGTTAGTGTTTTTCTCCATGGCTTCTCCTTTTTGTTGTCTTTTTAAAAGGGATGCATATTGTCATAAATAATTTTGTGACTCTCCACTGCCAGGATTAAAACCTTGCTGTTCATGCTGACAAACATAACATTGCTCAACTTAAAAAAAAATAAAATAAAAATAAAAACAGGGAACAAACACGACCTTCGGTCATTGGTAAAGGCATCCTGTTGACATGGTTGACAAATCGCAACTTTGCGTTTGTGTTTTATTTTGAAATAAATGACAAATGCAACAAGATGGATGCTTTGCGCTAATAATTTGTGTGATTTCCTGTCTGGCCCTATGTTAACTGCAGAGCTTGACATATTCTGGAAGCATGGCACGTCAAAAATTAAAACCAATCCTATCTTTAGCGGCACGGAGTAGCAAGATGCTTCAGGGACACACCTGAAATGTTCTCTTCTGCGTTTGGTGTGAATCACACCACAGATTATCACAATTTCTATTTGCCACAGAGACATAATGTGCTGCAGACGCACCCCGTGCGGATTGGGGTTAGAGTGGCTGGGGTTAGACTTAGACATAAACTGATCAAGAGGAACTCAGAGTAGAGTCACTACTCCTCTACATGAAAATGAACTATTGAGATGATCTTGGGAACGTCTCCAAGAAGCCAAGGATCACTGGACCCAATGACTACAGACCGGTGGCTCTGACATCTGTGGTCATGAAGTCATTTGAGCACCTCGTTCTCTCCCACCTCAAGACCCTCACAGCCCCCTCATGGAGTTTGCCTTGATGGCTTCATCAACGTGGCTCTACATGAGATCCTACAACATCTAGGCTCCCCGGGTACCTACGCCAGGATCCACAGAATTTTCATTGACTTCAGCTCTGCCTTCAACACAATCCTCCTAGACCTCCACCAAGACAAACTGTCCCAGATAAACGTGGCTGACCCCATCTGCAGGTGGATCACTGACTTCCTGGTGGACAGGAAGCAACAAGTCAGGCTGGGGAAGAATCTCTCTGACCTGCGGACCATCAGCACCGGTTCCCTTCAGGGCTGTGTTCTCTTCCCTCTGCTCTTGTACACCAACGGCCGCACCTCCAACCACGAGTCTGTCAAGCTAATCAAGTTTGCAGACAACACCACAGTCCTCGGATTCATCACTGACAGGAATGAGTCTGCCAACAGAATGGAGGTCAAACGGCTGGTGTCCTGGTGCAGCCACAACAACATGGTGCTAAACACCCTGAAGACAGTGGAGGTTGTTGTGTGTGTGGCTTTGTTTCAGTCACATGACCATGTGTTGTGTTTGTACCTGAACTGATCTGCTCTGACCAGTACCTACACTGTCTTGTATATTGGTAGCCGTTTCTCTAATTATTGCCTCCCTATATTATCATTTCATTGGGTTATCATTTTAATTAATTAATTAATTAATTTAATTAATTTTTTACTAATGTTGTGATTTCTCACACATATGGCAATAAAACCCTTCTGATTCTGATTGGGAATTTGACTAGAATGTATCCTGGTAATTTTCCTCTGGATGCTTTCTGGGCACCTCCCACTTGGAGGAGACTCTGGAGCTTATCAAAAACTTGCTAGAGAAGTTTATAAATCTTCTCTTTTCTGGGGGCAACTTGGAAACTCGTAGGATGAAATAGAGAATGTTGCGTGGAAGAGTCATTCCCTTGGTGTCTAATACCTCAGTGATGTTCTTTTCTTTTTGACCTAAAAGGTCCCCCTGGTCTTCCCGGTCCTAAGGGTCTTGATGGAGGACCTGGTGCCCCAGGCCTCATGGGAGCTCCAGGTAGACCAGGGGAACCTGGTAGAGCAGGGCCACCTGGACTACTTGGTGAGAAGGGTCAGCCAGGTCGAGATGGAATCCCAGGACCAGCCGGAGTTAAAGGAGAACCAGGTATGTCACAGGTGGGATGGTATAGATTCAACAGTGGATTTACTTCAATAGAATCCATTTGGATAAACATTTTTTCCTTTATCATTTCAGGGCTTCCAGGTTTTGGTGGTCCTGGTCCTTCAGGTCTTCCAGGGCCACCAGGTAAGTAACATTATACTGCATATACACACAGCTGTGGTTACATTTAGCACAATAAATTCTCTTCTGGAATAACCTCTAAAGGTGCTAAAGGAGACATAGGCCCCCCAGGTCCTGCTGGTAGTCCAGGTTTTCCTGGTCCTAAAGGAGACAACGGCCAGCCCGGTGGCCCAGGTCTTCCAGGTATTACTGGCCCCCCAGGGCCTTCAGGACAACCTCTGCAAGGTCCAAAAGGAGGCCAAGGACCTCCTGGACCACCTGGAAGATCAGGTACAGCATTAAGCCCATTTACAAGTTCACTGCTTGAAGTTTTTGCCTGGTTTTCTGATGCTAAAAAGGGAGAAAGAGTAGGCGTCTTTTCGCATAGAAGTTCTGAGACATTTCCTGGGAGGAGGAAAAATGACCGGGAGATTTGATGGCTCGGTCCTCTCAGCCACTGTGTCTCCATACAAATTCAGCTCTTTCAGGACTTTGCTAAAATGTCAACATATTGCTACCATTTTGGCAGTGAGTGAGCATCAAAAAGAATTAGAGGACATTAACCACATTAGAAGTTTAATTCTGTCGAAGTACGCTGTAATTTTTTTGTGTCGGGGCACCAGGAGAACTGCTGTGTGATGGAAAATGTGGTGTTCAATGACCAGAAGAATCTCCCTTTTTTACGGTGCCCTCAGCGAGACAACCAAGACCTGTGAGTTACGTCATTTTGGGGGGGGTGCGCTGCATTTTCTGGTGATGGGAATTTAGCAATGACTAACGATTTTACTGAGCAACTCATGCCAGTAGTTTTGGCGACATATGCTGATGTCAGTTCCTACTGAGTTACAACAAATCAGCATGAGTTAACCACAAGTTACGCTCAGAGACTCTACCAGGCCGTTCATTCAGTGTATACCCCAGCTCAGGTACTCCGTTGGCTTGGAAAAGTGTCCTTCCGGCCAGCCCAGTGAAGTGGAGACACTCATGCCACACATTACCCTAGAGTTCCAAATGTGGAAACATGCCGAATAAAGCATCCATAAGAAAATGTGTTCACTTGGTTGCTTTTATGTGTAAGGACATATTTAATGAACCTGAAAAAGCTGAAGATAACAGATCAAATTAAATCTGGTACACAAGCCAAAAAATTAATCTTTTGATCTATTTTAAAATGAAAAGGTTTTTTATCATCTAACCCAAGAAAACCAGGCAGAAACTTTACTTTTCATAATGTGAATGCTTTCAGCACCTGTTCGTTAATTTGCATGAGTTGTTTCACCAATCAAACTATCAGTGAGCACACAAACCCAGCTTGTTTGAAGATGTGCATTGGGATTTCACAGTTTTACCCCAAATAATCCTTTTTTCCTCCCACATTGTTGTCATTGTCTAACCTTACGTTTTCATCCACCAAACCATGCTGTTTCATGCTCCCTCACCCCCTTTTCCTTACCTACTGGTCCCGTCATGGAGAATGATGTCAGTGTGACGTATGTGTTTGGTATTTAAAGAAATGTTGGTTTGAAACACCACAGCCAAAGACAAACTCTCATGTAGTTTTTCCAATACTGGATCAGACAAATATCCAGAAAAGAGTTCTGAGTTTGTGTTTGGCTTTTCTATTCCACTCTGTTTTGTCCCACCAATCAAGTGATCTGCATGAAGACTGTTCATCCCCACACACTTGCTCAACATGTATTGACCCGTGGCCTCATGCAGTGCTGAACTGAGTGGACAAATCATGTTTTATGATGAAATCAGTCAAAAACAAATGAATGGAGTTTGCAGTAAATCAGGTGTAATCTAAACACAGTTTTCAAAGAAAACAAGTCATCACTATTCATCACTGTGAAAGGCCTAAAGGAAGAAAAAAAATGGTTGTATTGATGACAAAACGATGTTATGATTTCTTGTCTCGTGTTTTTTAATTTTTTTTGCCATTTGGCTCCACCTACTTTGGTGTGGCCCCACCCATTGTGGTGTGGCTCCGCCTCTCCATGTGACAACTCTCACGTCCGGCCTTTCAGGCTCATCAGGTCAGATGAACGGCATTCAGACCTCTCTTGCACGTCTCTCACAGCGACACCGAGTTTAACTTCACACTCTGACCTGCTGGAGGGGAAACAAATCAACAGAAATATGATGAAAATCATTGCATCATTTCTTTCCTTCTAATGACTCTTTCCTCTCTCACTTTCCATGCACTCTGATGGTAGCATAGTCCACTTTTAACAAGTAAGCATGTTTTAATAAGTTCAGTGAAAATGATGATGCAGCTGAATGTCTAACATGAAATATAGATTATCGCTAGAAGCATGTTAAATAAATAACAAAGAAATTGTGTCATATTATTTATTTTACACTATGTAGTTAATGCACCAAAATACTTCTTTTCACTAACTCAACTGAAAATTTAAAGTTAATCATTATTGGTTCACATCACATGTTTAACCCTGGTTTTATTTAATACCTATAAGGATACATTCTAATATGTCAGACTTAAGAGATATTACATTAAACTTTCAACATTCTGTGATTGCATGGTTTTATTTGGTTGGACACCATAATGTATCTTATCATTTTATGCAGGTTTGATGACAATTATCCATCCCTTAACACTACAATAGCAAATATGCAAAAGAAGCTAGCATAAAACATGTTTTTCATACCTTTTAACTATGTTCTAACATAGTTTAGCTATAAATGAATTGTGGACATCATAAAATAATAATAATTCGGTGGTTCTTCATTCTTCTCTAAAAAAAACCTCAGCCAATAAAATGGCTCGGTCCAAAACCAATGACTGGACCGTCTGGTTTGTTGGTCTCACTGGACCAACACATTTACACATTCCACTCATTACACACTCATGTATTTAGCAACAGAACACCACTGGTGTGAGAGCTTCTCCGCTCAATAATATCAGAGTAGCTGCTACCACTTCAACTTTAGGACAAACTACCAGAGTCCCAAAAAGAAAAACACCATTTGAAGTCACGGTCAACATAAGCTAAACCTAAACTTAGAAAACAGCAACCTTATTCACGTTTTCTGGAATGAGGTGGGCGTGGCCTAGGCATGCCAACGAATGGAGGGGTGAGAGTTCTGTCGCCATGATTGTGTATAAAAGCTAGCTTGTTTTGCAGATTTGCCATTGCAGCTTGAAAATATAACACACAAGTCTCACAATCACCACAAACGTCTTCAGGTGCTGTTAAAACCAATAACACCACTATTCACTGGTTGTTTCCACATAAAGACAGAATGGCTAAATTTGTAGGCTGTCTTTGCTTTTACTTATTTTGCTGTTGTCTAAATCTCTTCTTGTGTTATTATTGTTTCTTTTCTCTGTGACGACAACTGCTGCTTTACCTGGGAATTCTGGGAACCCTAGGTCCTCCAGGTTAGACTCAATGGTTTGATATGAACTGTGTGGTAAAATATCTCAACAGGCCTTTCTCTGAGAACATAACGGCAGGCTGTCTGGAAACATGTCTCACTTTTTGCTTTGACCCTTTCCTCAGCCTGCAGGACACGCTGGACATCTATTTTAAAACACTGTTACAGGGTCATCAGGGTCAGAACTTCATTCCCATGTTGTATAATGACTATATTTTTTGGGACCTCTGCCTCTTTACCAGGATTAGTACATTCCTCAAAAATCTCTTATGAAATTCTTTGCATGTCACCTAAGTTCTACAGGTGGATTTTATGATCACTGTTGTAATTTGATCTCTGTTGTAACTGAATCAAATATTTTTTGATGGAGTCATATAACAGTTTCCACTTATTTGAGAATTTAGCTATGGATTAATAATAATGCTGGCAATATTAAGAGCACTGTCTTATAAGGTTTCTCATAACTGTTGACCAGTGAGAATAAAATGTAAATCATTTGTTGTGTTATCCCTTTAAAACATCATATCTGACCTCTTAACCTTTGCGTCTTTAGGACCACCTGGTCCAGAGGGTCCCCGTGGACTCCCAGGAAATGGTGGTGTTAAAGGAGAGAAGGGTAATCCCGGCGCTCCCGGCCAGCCTGGCTTCCCTGGTCAGAAAGGAGATTCTGGTTTTCAAGGGCCTCCGGTATTTTTATTGATCCCCAGAATTAAATTTTTTTTTTATTGTTTTTCTCTTTTTTTATAGCTAAGAGTGACATAGGTGGTTATGTGTTTTTTATAAGGGCAACCCTGGAAATCCTGGTGTTCCTGGTATCAAAGGAGACAATGGACTACCGGGCATTCCTGGATTCCCTGGTTAGTAAACAAAAAACTTTTTCTTTTTACTCCGTCCCGCCATATTAAAAATGATTTCATTTGTAAGTAATTTATTGTTGGCAATGAAAAACAATTTTTTTGTTTGCTTTACATTTTTCCAGGACTAAAGGGAGAACCAGGACTGCCTGGACCAAGTGGCCTTACTGGAGATCCTGGCAACATTGGACAACCTGGTGAATATGTTATACTATATACATTATAGACGCTATATAAAAAAATCACTTTTTCTTTATGTTCAGTTTGACATTTAGTATAAAATATTATAATATGACTGATTACGTTTTAAATCTACCTAGGGCTCCCTGGTGATCCTGCTATTGCTCCCCCTTCCTTAAGGGTGAAAGGAGAAAGAGGACCTCCTGGTCCAGCTGGCGTACCTGGGCCTCCAGGACCACGTGGTCCACCTGGTTCTGGTGGACAATCAGGTGGGTGAAAATGGACCTGAGTGTGAGCTGTTCAAGGCTTTTAGTTGGGACAAGTCAGTTTTGATGCATCGTTGAACCTGGTAGAGATTTTTGCTCATTTTGGGCTTATCTTGATTTTACACAAACAAACATAGCTGAACTTTTATTTGAAGTGTGTGTGTGTTTGTTTTTCTTCATAATCTAGGCCCACCGGGTGAATCTGGAGATCCTGGTTCTCCTGGTGCTACTGGTTTCAACGGCCCACCTGGGAGGAAGGGAGACACTGGGCCCACTGGTCCACCTGGTGAGAAATACTTGAGGAGTTGTTGGGGGGGAAGGGAATAAATAAATAAATAATAAATAAATCAATAATCAGTAAGATGTAGTATATAAAATTAAAAGACTAGTCCACTGTGATAGCTTATGTTCAAGTTTACCATCAACAGAAAGTAGAAAACAACAACTTTCCACTCTTAATGACCACTGTGCTTGAAGTAGCTCATTTTGTCTAGTTAGAAATGTCATGTGGTTTATATATTTTCTATAATTCCAGGCCAGCGTGGTGACATTGGCCCCCGTGGTTCAGATGGTCCACAAGGTCCCCCTGGCCCTCCAGGGTCAGTCTCAGCATCCCACGGTTTCCTCATCACCAGACACAGCCAGACTGATGAACTGCCCTCATGTCCAACTGGGACTAGCTCTATCTATGAAGGTTACTCTTTGCTGTATGTGCAGGGCAACGAGAGGGCGCATGGACAGGACCTTGGTGCGTGAGACTTTGATTTACTCAAACTTCTTTTAACCAATCACCTTCTACTGGAGAGGTTGAGAGACTGGGTAGGCCTATCAGGATCTGCTCTGGAGTGGTTCTCCTCATATCTGTCTGAGCATTACTTCTCTGTGGCCGTCTCCAAGTTTTGGTCCTCCACCACCTCCCTCTCGCATGGTGTCCCACAAGGTTCTGTGCAGGGACTGCTACTCTTCCTCCTCTATCTGCTCCCTCTTCCATCAAGCTTGTGCCTCTTCTAGTGTCATTTTAAAGGATTTTATTTATTTATTTAACCGATACTAGATTACCAGCAACAGAAATGCTACTAAAACACACAATTATGTGAAGCTAGAAAAATTAGAACACTGTGCAAAATTACATTCCTAACCCTTTTAATCGCATTTTTTTTTTTCATTTTTTAAAATTTGTTGTTCTTGTGAAGCGCCTCGCGATTTTTATCATGAGAGTCGCTATATAAAAGTTTGTTTTCTTTCTTCCAGAAAGTTAACTCATTCACTGCCAGCCGTTTCCTGATCGGTAAAGCCCTTCGCTGCCAGCCTTTCATACCGTTTTTACTGTTTTTTTAAGAGTCACAGAACGTTGCGCGCTAGGATGATGTCAACACCAAAACAACCAAAACAACCAAAACAAAGAGGGGACTCACCTCTTACATCAGGAAGAATCAGCGCATTTTGAGCTTTATCCATTCTTTCAGAATCCGTTGTCGAATTGTGATTGGCAGATGCTTTTCCGGTTTGCGCCTCACTTTTTTTTTACAGCAGCGCCCCAAAACGATCTCCTGACACATGATTTTATGCTTCCTGATCACGTGACGTGTGACGTATGCGGAGGAAGATCGGCTTTAGAGCTGAGATGTTTGTTCTCACGGTGCGAGGGCTCGTTCCGACTCCCACACAGTAAAAAAAAAAATGCAAATGATGACTTTAGTTATCATTGGCAGTGAATGGTTGGATGACTTAGTCATCAATGGCAGTGAATGACTTAATATTTTCTACCAATATCTCTATTCCAGGCACAGCTGGCAGCTGCCTGAGTCGGTTCAGCCCCATGCCTTTCATGTTCTGTAACATCAACAACGTGTGCAGCTTTGCCTCCCGTAATGACTACTCCTATTGGCTGTCCACGCCAAAGCCCATGCCTATGTCCATGGAGGCGATCACTGGAGTGAGCATCGAGCCTTACATCAGCAGGTACGGGGGGGGGGGGGGGGGGGGGGGACCACATTGGAGAGAGGGTGCTGTAGCATCTGGGGAAGTGATTATGTTTAATATGTATGTCTCTCTGTGTGTGTGTGTGTGTGTGTGTGTGTGTGTGTGTAGGTGTAGGGTGTGTGAAGCTCCTGCTATGGTGATTGCCGTCCACAGTCAAACCATTCAAATTCCCACATGTCCTGAAAACTGGGAACCCCTGTGGATTGGATACTCATTTATGATGGTATGGCTCACCTAGTTTATTGAAAAAAATGTGTCATAAAATGGCATTAGAGTGTTTTATACATGGCTCTGGATGTAAAGTAAATGTCCAGAAGATTGTGAAGTTCCTGATCCTGTGATATTAGCAGTTTAGATAAATGTTTATGGTGATTGTTGTACGTTTTAGTGTTCAGGTATGACCATAGCTCTCCTCTTCCTACTAGCACACCAGCGCAGGTGCAGAGGGGTCCGGTCAGGCTCTGGCCTCCCCCGGTTCCTGTCTAGAGGAGTTCCGCAGCACTCCCTTCATTGAGTGCCACGGCAGAGGGTCGTGCAACTATTTCAGCAACTCCTACAGCTTTTGGCTGGCTACTGTAGAACGATCAGAGATGTTCAGGTATGTACCAGCAGGATGCTTTTGGGGGATACACAGTAGTGGAAATGCACCCCTCAAACACCACTTTATACCTTTTTTTTGTGAAGCACCTCGTGTATTTTATCTTGAGAGGTACTACATAAAAGATTGTTTTCTTTCTTTCTTATACCAACGCTACACCTAATGAGCCAATTGCTAACGAACAAAGGTCAATGCTGACTTCCTTGCATGTTGTAAAACTTCTTTCTTTATTTTTCTTTAAAAGTACAATTTGTGATTAATTTACTGTGAAATAATCACTAAACAGTCTATTTGATGTCTCAGTCGTGTTGGATGGAAGTTTACATTGAAACACATTTCCTTCTGGGTGGGCTGGGCTGTTGTCAGTTTTTGTTTTCAGTTTGTAAAGGACGTCGTCTTTTTTTTACAATCTGAGCCTGCGGGTTGCCAAGTCTGAGCTGATAATTCTATACCAACCCGCGAAACGCAGCAGTGTTTCATAAACAACCAAAGTCAGTAACAGGAGAAACCCATGCAGTTACTTCTTGTAACCTTAAGAAGCCACAACATCCTTTTGTTTTACTAAGGTGAAGCAGTAAACCTAACCCTAGCTGCTAACGTTTACCCAACGGTGAATTACAAGCTAATAGTCAGCTCTAAACAAACCTTGAGCTACTTTTTTTCAATTGCCAATAACTCAATATTTCAGTGTTTTTAACATATTTTGTACGTTCATTCATTGGTTCATTCGGCTAACGCTGTAACGAGCTCTGAAGAAGGCTACAGCTACAGTGTTAGCCGAAACATCAGCAAAAACAAGGTAAAACAAAATTTTTCTGTGGTGGAAAAATAACCAAGTAATGCAATTGCAGTGTTTTTATCTACTTATCAACTTACTGTGTATGACTGTCTATGCTTGTTGTCTAAGATCTTCTGGTGATGATCCTTAGCTGGCACCATTTCCATTCAGTTCAATTTAGTTTATTTATATAGCGACAAATCATGATAAGACAAGGTACTTGACAAAGTAAACATTCCAATATGGTTCCAGGTAATGATGCCCATCAGGAAAAAGTTTGCTATATAAGCAATCCAGCAGGTTGCATCGAGTCACTGACTAGTGTCAGTCTTTACAGCAATCCTCATACTAAGCAAGCATGCTGCGACAGTGGAGAGGAAAACTCCCTTTTAACAGGAAGAAACCTCCAGAGGATCCTGGATTAGCATAAGCAGCCACCCTCACCAAGTAGTGATTCTCAAGCGGCGTACATTACATTTTCGTTGTGGAGACTCTGTTTCTCGACAAAGTAAACTTTATTGTCTTTATCTGAGTTAATCTGTAATGGCGTAGCAGCCACGACCTTTTAACTCTTTGTTTTGAAACCTAGACTGCAGTACCCAAATTTGACCACAAGATGTCATTCTTACTATATTCTTAAATCACGCACCTTTAAAATTTCCAAATAATGGATGGAAGCAAAATGAAAAAGGGGATCAGGTTTTAATATAACATTTACATAAATTGGAACATGTCTGACCAAATTTTGAATAGTGGTCAAAATTCATGTATCTAAGTACAGACATAATGTCAAAGGTATGCCAGTGGCTCATTAGGGTCACAATGGTAGCCACAAACCCATTCCTTTATCCCTGTCTATGCTATTCCAGATTTTTTTCCTCCATTTTGGAAAGGTCCTTCATAAACATCACTCTGACAAACTGCACCACTAGGAGGCAAGAACATCCTCATTTATACCACATCAGACTACAGAGAAAGAAGATTTTCTTAGAGCTTATATTTTTATTGGATACAGTTTTTCAGTTTCCACTCTGATATTATTGGTTTTAGAGGTGATCAAACTTGAATGACTGCACATTTAGGGTAAAATGTGAGTCACCCATAAGTCCTGTAGAAGTGGTGAAAGAAAGCATCCTATGATTTCATGAAGTATACATTTTATGAGGGTAAGAATCTAATCTTTCTTCACCGTCTCACAGGAAACCCCAGTCGGAGACCTTAAAGGCGGGCAACCTACGGTCACGCATTAGTCGTTGTGTGGTCTGCATGAAGAGGACGTAATGTTACTGGCAATAAGCTAGGGGTCCCCTGTTCAAAAACAACACAACAAAACCACAGATGATCCGATAGTGGAGGACGAGTTTGAGGATGGGGTCCAGTTGCCTGTTGACATGGCAACAAGGTGGAATTCCAATGGTGCATTGTCTTCTGGAGAGAATTAAAACATCTAGAATTGAAACTATGGTGCTACTGTGCTACACAGCTTAGAAGAAAAGCGATAAACTGACATCAATAATCTTACATTTAAGTTTTTTTCTGAAAAAGTACCTCATAAGTAAAAAAAAATGTTTAAAAAAATCCGATGAATGGTGCCATGATGGATGGATGAAAACAAAAGTGTTTTCTTTTTTCCCTACATTTTTTTTACACATTGGTGCAACAGAAAAATGTGATTTTTTTTGTCTTGTTCATGAGGAGTGGATGGTCTCCAACGGTTACCAAATCGGCACTTTGACTTTACAACATCCAGGACGAGAGATGCACTGACAAGCTTTCCGCAGCGAGGCTTCTGATTCACGCTCTTGTGTCGCTGTCTGCCACCTTTCTGTCGTTTCACGTTCGGCAGCGCTAACTCTGCTGTATTCCACCTGCTAACCATCAGCCTACACTTATTTCCTACAACTCTTATTTTGTAAGTAATAAAATGTGTATATTGTGTAAAACACCTTTTTGTTTGTTTTTAGAGTGTAAGGTCTTGAATCAGTTCCATGTCTTGTTTTGTTTTCAGCTTACGGCACCCACAATCACGTATGCTCGCTGATACACATCCACTCAGTTATTGTACAAAGTCAGGCTTTTATGAATGGAACAGTATTTTATATATAATAAATATATATATATTTGAAAAATAGAGGATTAATTTCTAGCTGGCTGTGGGGAGCTGTTTCATGCATTTCGATATAAAATAAAATCAAACTGCCATTTTCCAAATAGTCATTACCAACATCAGTTGAACCCATTGATTTAAAATGGTATGATATATAAATATTTGTGTTTTAGAAAAACCACTACATTTGTTTTGTGTTGGTAGTCATTTCCAGGTGCTGGGTCGTGTTTCTGAGAGTATCTGAGGATTTGGGGTTTTAACCGAATCCCGTTACTTCGCCCCGACTCAATTCAGATTTATGCGGGTGTGTAAAGCGAACTCTCGAAGTCAGGAGACATCCTGACATCAGTCTGTTTTATTGGGGGGGGGGGGGGGGGGGTGTTCCTGTGTTTTTTTTTTTAATAACTGCTTTTAAGGATTCGAATGTTGTCAAGCTGGGTGTGATTTGTATGTTTTGTGTTCTTTTTCCCTGTTTTGTTATGTTACTCAGAAGTTGTCATAAACCTTTACGAAAAATAAACACTATGTCTAAGAGGTTGTTTTGTGTGTCTGGTCGTTCAGGAAAACCACTTTTAAAGAGCAAGTCACCCCCTACAAGAAACTTACTTCACTCCCTCTTCATGTTTGAAAAATGCAATAAATGCTGTTGCCTAGCAGACCGAGAGGGCGGGGCCGCTAACAAATACACACACAGGCTCACAACGGCATTGTGACATCATAATGTACCAGTTTATATCATAGCATACCTCTTGGCCAATAGCGGTGGCAGATTTAAATTCAAATACAGTGCAGAGTTTTTACCTGACGACACTGACAGTTTTAGGCAGAATATTTAAATTTGAACTAGGATGCACTGAAGTACCAAATTATTGACCACACGTGTCTGCAGCACAATTAGACACTCGTTTATACAGTTTATCAGCAAACAAAAAGTTGATTTGGGGGTGACTTGCTCTTTAATGGCAAAAACTAACATAAATAAGACAATATATAACATTTTCTCAGTTCTTTAAAGTACCAGTGTGTATATACTCTGGTGATAGGGGGAAGTACATACTTAAGTTATTGCAAGCAATAATGGAGTTTTTGTGTTGGAGTACGACCTTACCAACGGATGGCTATTAGGGTCAAAAGTTCCTGTGAGTGCGACCTCCAGCAAAATAATGAGCACATCAGACTCCCTTTCATCACTGGCAACAAGTGAAGAGGTAAATGTGTAAAACAACGTTTATGAATGGAAAAAAGTTTTGTAACTAGTAAATGAATTTTATCCTCACGGGTTCCCGTAGAAGTAAACATGGTGCGTAATATGGCGACGATCCGCTCCCATGTATTTTACACCTGATTTTTATGGTTATAAATTTGCAAAGCAGTTACTATTTTTCAACAACTGGGCATCATTTAATTCATTTTCAACAACATTATGATGGATATTTAAAGAGATTAACAATAAAGACTACACATAGTCTCTTTAAATTGATATGCAGACAGCTGAGATTCTGATTTGTCTTATTTTATAAGCAGTCGCCCAATACTTTTCAAGATGACCAGCAGAGGGCAGCATTACTAAAAGTCCAGCCTTGTGTTGAATATAAAAGCATGCAAACTGTTCATTACTAATATGGAATCCTTGTGAATATGAAAATGTGTTTCATGTATTTTATTGACATTTGTGGAGTTCTGATTGGTGAAACACTAAATTTAATAAAATATTTTAGGTCAAGTAAGCACATCTCGACTGGGCGTTTCAGAAAAAACTACTTTTGTTTTCTTTGTATCCCACATACTGTTGGGATTTTGACAACTGAAATGATAAATACAACTAAAATAATAATGTTTTAGATAAGTTCCAGTCAGGCTTTCGTAAGATACATTCCACTGAAACAGCTCTGTTAAAGGTATCTAATGATGTACTGATGGCGGCAGACTCTGGCCAATATACTGTACTGGTTTTATTGGATTTGTCTTCAGCTTTTGACAAGGTTGACCATAAAATTCTGTTACATCAACTACACAATGACTTAGGATTTTCTAGTACGGTTCTGAAGTGGTTTTCTTCCTATTTAAATAACAGAACATTCTCTTTATGTGTAAACAAGATTAGGTCTGAAGTCACATCTTTGCTTCACGGTTACGGTGTTCCCCAGGGCTCGATCCTTGGCCCAATTTTGTTTCTTTTATATATTTGGGGAGATTATTAAAAGCTTTACTAATGTGTCCTACCATTTATATGCGGATGACATTCAACTGTACTGCACTTTCAAGGACACAGACAAGTTAGCTGATCTACTTGACTGCATTGAGCGTATTAAGGACTGGCCAGCCAGTAACTGTCTTCAGCTGAACTCAAGCAAGACTGAAACACTGATCATTGCTCCTGAACAGAAAGTGTTTTTCATCAAACAACACCTCGGTTCCCTGAGCTCCTCAGTCCAGACCAGTCTCAGAAACCTTGGTGTTCTTTTTGACCAATCCATGTCTTTGAGCTGCCGCTCAAAACATTTAGTAAAAAACTGCTTTTATCATTTGCGAAACATTTCCAAATTGAGAGCTTTTACTTCAAAATCGGACTTGGAGATGATTATCCATGATTTTATTTCTTCTCGTTTAGATTATTGTATTTTATCTTTACTTGTTTTAACAAATCAGATGCCAGTCGTCTCCAGTTGGTACCGAATGCTGCAGCAAGGCTTTTAACAGGAACCAATAGAAGGGCTCACATAACACCAGCTTTATCTTCTTTACATTGGCTACCGGTCAAGTTTAGAATAGATTTTAAAATTTTAGTTTTGACTTTTAGAGCTCTTAATGGACAAGCTCCACAATATTTATCAGACCTTTTAATCCCTCACTCTTCTGGCCGCACTCTACGGTCCTCGGGTCAAAACCTACTGAAGGTCTCTAAGACCAGATTTAAAACTAGAGGGGACCTGTCCTTTCAAGCTGTAGCTCCCAGACTTTGGAACGCCCTGCCCCTGTTTCTTCGTGTGGCCGACTCTGTTGATTCTTTTAAAAAGCAGCTGAAGACACTTTTATTTAGACAAGCTTTTATGTAAGTTGACCTTGTGCTCCTGTCCTGTTTTGCCTTTTTATGTATGTTGTGAAGCACTTTGTGATTTTTTTCTGTGAAAAGTGCTATATAAATTAAGTTTTACTTAACTTTACTTTACTAAAATAAAAATTTAAAGTAACAGAAGTAAAGGAAGGGGCTGCATGGTAGCCCTGTGGCCTCACAACAAAATGTCACCGGTCAGGTTTTTTCTGCACTGAGCGAGCGTCTTCTCTCCAGGCCTCCCTCCCACCAAATCACACATTTAAATTATTTCTTTTTTGTCGCCATGTGTCCCTGTGATGGACTGGTGACCTGTCCAGGGTGTCCCATACCCTTTGCCTGGTGACTGGTGGAGATAGACACCAGCTCCCCACAACCCTGCTCAGGAATAAGTGGTTCAGGAAATGAGAGAGTGAGTTAGTAACAATCAAAATCTGACATTACAGTGGCTACGGGGTTAGGGGTTCACCCTGTTACAAATGGGTTGCCTGTTTGAACCCAGACTCTGTCAGTTGTGTACTTGGGGACAACACTCCCCCCTCTGTCCAGCTGTGCCTATACAGCAGCCTTGCCTCTGTCAGAGAGCCCCAGGGCAGCTGTGGCTACACCGTAGCTCATCCCCATTAGTGCATGAACTGTAGTGCAAAGCACTTTGGAGTCCTCTGCCTCAGACAGGGGCCTTACCAGTGCATGTCATTCAAGACATCTACTGTATGGAAATGTTCTGCTTTACAGTATAGAGGACCCAGGTTTGAGGCTCCCCAGAGACCCACGGTTGTAATATTACAACATCAGATTTAAGTCTACAAAAATAAACCTTCCCCATTTTTTTCTTTTTAAAACCACATTTACATTGCTAATAGGTCCTATTGTTCAGTCCTGCAACACTATTGGCTGTTAAAATGTGTAAATAGGCCCGTTTATCTGGCCGTGAAGTCAAACAACCTGACAGCCTGCTTTGGAGAACATCATCTTGTAGTTTTCAACAGGAGAAATCAAGACTCAAGTAAGTAAAAAGCTTTAAGTATTTTTTCTGTGATAAGTGATGTGTGCAGATCATGCAGATTTTATGACATCATTGAATGTACTGATATTGTGAGATTTTGAGCTTGTTTTGTCCATGTTGTAATTTTACAAGAGTGGGTCTTAGGAGCAGCAAAAGTTGGGTGTGCACCGTGCACTTGAGGGAGTTTACTTTCCACTTGTTTGATGGTGAAAATACTAGGATAAATATTACTGTTTAATCAGTTTGTAATGTTTTTGATCAGTTTTTAATGTTGCAACAATTTTGACATATTTTACAAATTTGATGTTGGATCAAAATACAACTTTTTGTTGTACTAATATAATGTATTGCATTATACTAGTAATTAGGATTGAAAGATGTATGTGGCATAATTTGCAATATACTATAGTGCTGGTTTTCTTTTTCCTGGGTTCTGCTTGGCTGCCCAAATAGCAGCTTTTTGAATGATAAGTTGATAATGTTCTGGGAAGTAGGGGTGTAAGTGCTCATAGCATGACAAAGGGAGCAACTGATACAATTGCTGATCTCTGGAATGTGTGAATCTTTTGTGTTGGCATATCTAAAATTAATTTGCATTGCAATTACCTGGCCTGGAAACTAATCTGCTATTGTAACTTTCAGACTGCCTGAAACCAGGAAAAGCCACATCAGGTCTGTGTCCAGGATGCTATTGAAGCCATCCAGAATGGAGACAGTGACTTGGAAATGTCATTTGAATCAGATTCAAATGATGAAGATGAGAATGAAGTTATCTGTGAA